TGATACCATCGACCACAAAATCCTATTTAAAAAAATAGAGTATTATGGAATTAAAGGGAATATTTTAATGATTCTTAAAAGTTATTTAAGCAACCGTAAACAGTTTGTTTACAGTAATACAACTGTCTCTTCCAATTTATTAGATATAACATGTGATGTCCCTCAAGGTTCTATACTAGGACCTCTTCTCTTTTTAATTTACATTAATGATCTACCTAAAGCCTCAAATTTAATGACGGTCATGTTTGCCGACGATACAAATCTTTTTTTAGCTCATAACAACATAACAACATTATTCTAAAATATGAATATTGAATTAACAAAAGTTTCTGACTGGTTTAAAGTGAATAAGCTATCACTAAATGTTGAAAAAACTAAATGGATACTTTTTCATCAAACTTCAAAAAAATAGCTACTACCTCCTGTGATGCCCTTACTTTTTATTGACAAAATTCAAATAAAAAGAGAACAAACTACTAACTTTTTAGGAATAAATATTGATGAAAACCTTAGTTGGAAGTATCACATTGATTTATTGTGCAACAAAGTTGCTCGAAATATAGGAGTAATGTACAAGGCTAGAAATGCTTTAATTAAACACAGTTTAACACAATTATATTTCTCTTTAATCCATTGCCATATAAATTATGCAAATATTGCTTGGGGTAATACCAATAAATCTAAACTGCTACCTCTTTATCGTCAGCAGAAGCATGTTGCTCGGCTTATCAATTATAAAGATCGATTTGCTCATGCCAAACCATTATTATTTCAAATGAAAATTCTTAATATTTATCAGCTAAATATTTTTAATATACTTTGTTTTATGTTCAAGTGTAAAACCAACGAATCTCCAGTTTCTTTTCATAATCTATATACCTTAAAAAATAAAAATAAATATAACTTAAGAAATAATAATCAAATTCAGCAACCTTTATCTTTAACTAATTTTGGAAAGTCATGTTTTTCATATCAAAGAGCTTTTCTATGGAACAAAATAGTTTTAAAAAATTTTGATTTTTCCCATGAATGGAATAATCTTTCATTCAAGAAAAAACTAAAAGAAATTGTTTTGTCTTTTGAAGACATTTTTTTATATTTTTAAATTCTTTTAAAAATGAATATGAAGTTTATTACATAAGGTAATATATAAATATTATATCTGATCCATAACTTATGTGTTTGTGAAAACAGTACTTTTTAAAATATTTTTGTATTTATATATAAGAGTATCAACAATTTCTTTATTCCAATTTTTTTTATATATTATTACGAAATTTACGTTCTCGCTAATTTTTAATACGACATTGTTTGGATTTTATACTTCATGTTAATTTAATGTACTTAATATTCACGAGCGGTTCTCGATGATAAGACCTGAAGGTCTTCTGCGTGTCTCCGCGTTCTTTCTTTTTTGTATATATTTTCTTTCATTGTATAACGATTTTTATTTCAACTATCTTATTGTATAACTATATTGAATATTCAAGAAAAGAACAAAAAAAAAAAAATAAAAAATAAAAAAATAAAAAATAAATAAATATTATGAATACTTCTAAATTGAATTTATATATTAAACATGTAAACCTATATTCTAGCTTCTTCTTATGATATTATGAAGACTTTTAAATTTTATTTAAAAAAATTAACGGTTGAAGCTTTGATTACTTTGAGCTCTTATATTTATCACCAAAGTTTATTTAAATTAAATAAACAATTTAAATCAAATAAATATCAGCCTGCTCAGTCCCTGTTTATTTATAAATATAAAGTAAATAATAATATAATTATAAATAAAAAATTTATAAAGTATTCTATTTATTATTTTATTTAAAGCTCACTCTACAGAGTTGTTAGATTACTATAAAAGCTTTTATCACAGATAGTTAAGACTTGATTTCAGGTACTGATGCAGATTTACCCATTACAGAGACAGAAGAAGAGTGAATACTGAGATTTCAGAGTGTAAAAGATTAAAAGAAGCTAAAGAAAATGTTATGCAGCGTAAAGTAAAAAATAATCAAAAAAAAAAAAAAAAATACTTAAAAGTGTGTAAAAAAGAAGTTAGAAAGATATCTATCATTTGTACTTTTTTTTAACAGCAGGTTCACAACAGTTGTAGTGAAATACAAAATGGTCTTAACTTGGTTTTTTTTTTGGTTTACAAATTGTTCGTTTAATGAATACAGAGAAGTAAAAAAAGATATTGAAATAAATAGCAATAAAAAGATAAAGTGTGTTTGTAAGATTTTTTAATTTATAGATACAACTAGATCAGCTAAAAGTGTTTATTTAAAGAAAGAGTGATCAAGTGCAAAAGATAAATTTGTTCTAGTAATCCTCAGAGATTTTTATCCACTTCTATTAACAAGAGGTGCATTAAAAATAAAAATAAAATATACAGCACATGAAAAGATGCTATATAACATTAATATGGTTCGCACACAGAAAAAGTAGAACTTGAAGTAGGAAAATTTGGGGAGAATGTTTCAAAAAAGCTTAAGTTTAAAACAAAAACGCTTGGTGCGGTCAATTATCAGAAACGACATAATGAGAAACTTTCAAACAGGGGCGCTGAGAGCTTTTGCCCTGCCTGGGACAGCAACCATGACTGGCATCCTTATTTTTATACAATTTTTCTATATTATTAGTCAAGGACCTTAGTTTTGGTACCTTTTTTGTTTTACAACCCTGCTGATCTGAATGCTGATTAAATTTTAAGCATATATAGTATCGGCTTCGGCAAAGTGGCTTCGTCCGAAGCTTCGGCTTCGGCAAAATTTTAGCTTCGGTACATCCCTATTCAATTCGAAGATTATATCTCCTTTGACGATCTCCGAGTTGTCTAAATCTATTTTTTTCTATTTCCTCTATGGTTGCATTCGACCATATTTTATTTTCCACATCACTGTCTTTTTTATCATTTATCATTTTATTTTCAAAATAGCTGACTTTTTTATTATGGAAATTTTGAAAGAACGTTAGACTCATTAAATGTCTTTTTGTATTTTTTCATACTTAATTATCAGGTTGTTTATTTTTTTAAGATCGGTATTCGATTTTTCGTTTTCCTTTTGACACTTCGCAAGTATTCTTTAATGTATTAATTTTTTTTAGTAATCTATAGATTCGATCGTTAGCCATTTTTAGTTTTGCACTTATTAACGCTAATACATCTTTTTGCTATTTTTTGTAACATTTCTTGAAATAGTTCACTAACTTATTTTATTGAGCTTCAGTGTTAAGTTTTGAACTCATCATTGATAAGATTTAAAAAATAAATAAATAAATAAAACTTGTAATCTTAATTTTTATTATTTTATTACTTTCGTAAAAAAAGCATGTCCGTTCACTTGAGAACCGCTACATATTTTTTTTTGTACTTTTTTGTGTTATTATTATTTTTTTATTTATTAGAGATTTTTTTTTTTTTTTTTCTCTGTTTACATAACATAAGAATTTTACAAATTCCACTACATAATATAAAATTTAACAAAACAAGTAAAACACATAGGAGCTCAAAGAAGATGAGGATGACAGAACGTCATCGCAATCTTTTCATAGAAACCCTTTAATAAGATTTAAATAAAATATCGTAATATGACATACAAAATAAAAATTTCAATAAAATATTATAACAAAATGCGTAATCCGCTAATAAAATTTGTTAAGCAAATTACCACTAAAATTACAGTCACCAAATTACCACTAAAAATACAATCAAAATCAATAGTTTTAACATTATAAGAATATTTTTTTGATTATTTTTATTATTATTTATTATCAATATTATTTTATATTTTTTATTTTAAATAATAATAATTGCATAATCATAACTTGTTTGAAATATAAAAGGGAAAGTTATCGATATTAAGATAATTATTTAAGTATATTTTGTTAACTTTTTACAAACTTATAAACAAAGGGTATTTGTTGTAGAATATTTATTGTTAAATATTTGTCAGAAAAAGTGTGTAAAGAGCTTTAAAAGCTTTAAACATTATCTTTTGAAATGCTTTAAGTCTAAATAAATATTGTTAATATTTTAATAAAATATATTAAATATATATATATATATATATATATATATATATATATATATATATATATATTTAATGGGTGATAGATAAAAGAGGGGTGGATTTTTAACAACTTTTGATACATCAAAGTAAATATTGAACAGTTTTCTTAGGATATTATGTTTCCTCGTGTTTGACTCCACTGCATTTTTTTTTTAAACTTAAAGCCTATAATTGAAATAATTTTTTAGTATATAATATTAAATAATATTGCCTAATGATTTAACAATAAACGCGTTAATACTTTAGACATTATAATAAAATAGAGCAGGTTGGCTCATTTTAAATGAGCCAACCTGCTCTATTTTATTATAATGTCTAAAGTATTAACGCGTTTATTGTTAAACCATTAGGCAATATTATTTAATATTATATACTAAAAAATTATTTTAATTATAGGCTTATGACAAAATAATAATTATGACAAAATAGAGCAGGTTGGCTTACTTTAAATGGGGCGCCTTAGTTATATATTATACTGAAACCACAGTTATAGTTATTCTGATATCACAGTTCTGTTGTTGACAAGCTTGTTTTTGTTACCGGTAATTGTTTTTTTTTTTTTTTTAATTGTTTTGAAAATAAAGAGCAAATATGGGCTAACAAATTGATAAGAATTTTATGTTTAATTTTAATATATAGAGGCCTTTATACGCAATGTACAATACGCTTTAAGTTTCAATTATGAACTTTTTTTTACAATTAAAACATATATAAATGAATAAATAAGAAATTGTGAAAACAAGGTTTTTTCACTATTTTATAACTTTAGGCCAACTTACCCCAAAACTAGGGAACGTTAATCCATCAAACATAATTTAAAGTGATGTTCAGTTTTTTAGTTTGATTTTATAACATTTTTTTTTTAATTTATATCACCTCGTGTATTATAATTGTTATAGTTGTTTTATGTCTTCATAGAGATAATTTAAACATATCTCTTCAATTAAATGGAAACGGCTATAATGTATCAATAGAATATTTTTTTCCGTTGATTGTTACCTATACTTCTGAAAGCGTTTTGCGTGGATTTATAAAGTCTAATTCTGCTCAATTTAAGTACATTGTGAGTATTATTAGTTTTTTATTTTTTAAATTTAAAATAAAATTTTAAATCTAAAAAAAAATTCTGTTGTTTGATAAACTTTAGTTGAAAGGGACAAAAAAATCATAAAGTATAAGTAAAAAGCATATCATTATAATATATCATAACTATGTACAAAACATTGCATTATTAATATCTATACTTTATACTATCAATTAATTTTGAGTTTTAATTTTAGAGTTAAATTGTTTTTGATAATGCTGTAGTAAAAATCTAATATACGCAAATGAATGCATTATGTTCTTATATATAAAAACATAGTAATTTGTTCAAATATATGTAAATCTATGCATTGTTTTCTAATATATGAAAATACAGTATTTTGTTCAAATATATGCAAATAAATGCATTAAATTCTAATGTATAAAAATTTAGTATATTATTCTATTATATGCAAATATAGAGATGAACTTATAATATATGAAATAAGGTCCTTTGTTCTAAAATATGCAAATCTATGCATTAAGTTCTTATATAAATATAAAAATATAAAATTAATTTTTAATAAATATTTTGAACTTTTATCTTAGCAAAATGTTAATATAAAAAATAAAATAGCATAAATATAAGTTTAAGTTCAATAAAGGTTTATTTTGTTATATTATTAAAGTTGAACGGTTTTGTAAAATTATATGATTAATCATGAAATCGTATAACTCTTTTAATATAAATAAGTTAAACTTTATTGAATATATGAAACGTTTGTTTAAAATTTTTAATTTAACCACATAGTTTCATTTGTTAACAGATTCATTTGTTATCATATTGATTCATTTTTAGATTTATTTATTTGTTACCTGATTCATTTGACACCATCAGATCTAAATATTAGTTACCAGATTCAATCATCACCAAACTTGATTGACAAATAATTTTTTTTTAAACAATTATCAAAGTATTCTGAAAGACACGTTTTGTTCGGAAAAGAAAAACAATAAAAAATGAAAAGTTATGCAGTTTAAATAAATGTAAAAACTTTTGAATTTTTTTCATTTAGTTTTCTGGATACTTAGTAACATATGGAATAATTACACACAATATTTCATTGAAGGTAAACAAAAAAAAATGTTTTAAAGACTTTTTAATTGAAGTTCCAGTGAAGTTGAGTTATCAAAACAAAAACGGTATAATAAAAGTTGTAACAATGGCATATCAAAAACATTTGACTTGTTTATCTAAAGTTTTACCGAAAATACCAAGAGAAATAAATGCTCTTTCAGGTTGAAATTTTTTGTTATATTGACTCCTAAAAGTTTAATTTTTCCAACTTTCAAGTACTAGTTTTATGTTTTATAATGCTTTTTTATAGGTTCTTATAGTTTTTTATAGGTTGTCAGTGTGATAATTAAGTAATTCAAAATTATAGCGCGCCTTCAAACCGCATCAGCTTTATAGTTATTTTTGCATGTTTATTTTGTAAAACAAGAGTAATATTTTTTAACAAAAAAGCATAAATACTTTTAATAACGATTGAAACTTTTAGTAAAAAATATTATTTAATTGTTTTTTACTTCTTCTTGTCAAATTATATATATATATATATATATATATATATATATATCTATCTATCTATATATATATATATATATATATATATATATATATATATATATATATATATATATATATATATATATATATATATATATATATATATATATATATATATATATATATATATATATATATATATATATATATATATATATATATATTTATATATATATATATATATGTATATTTATATATATATATATATATATATATATATATATATATATATATATATATATATATATATATATATATATATATATGTATATATATATATTTATATATATATATACATATATATATATATATATATATATATATATATATATATATATATATATATATATATATATATATATATATATATATATATATATATATATTATATATATATATATATATATATATATATATATATATATATATTTATATTTATATATATATATATATATATATATATATATATAGATATATATATATATACATATATATATATATATATATATATATATATATATATATATATATATATATATATATATATATATATATATATATATATATATATATATATATATATATATATATATATATATATATATATATATATATAATATACTAGACTGCTTCATTTTGAGGTCATGAAAAAATTTAAAATACCATGGAGTGTTATTTGCTGCGCCGACCCATATTTTATTTGTAGAATTTTTTTTATTTTAAATTTTGACCGCTTTTAGGAGTTGCTCAAGTTTCATATTTTAGGGTTTTTTACCCTTTTTTAAGCCCATTTTTCGCACGTTCAAGCAAGTACTAAAACTCATAAGAATTAATTTTTTTTTTTCCAAAGTTTCTTAAAGTTAGAATAAAAAAATTAAAATGCATGGTAATTTTATTTTATTGAAATAATTTGTGCAAATTTATTTACAAAAACGCAAAGTTTTGCAGGTTTTTACAAATTGTTGCGCTTTGCGTTAATTTAAAAATGTTGCGTATTTGTTTAAACAGTTATGCAAATTACTTTTTAACAGAAACGATAAATTGTTTTGATTTAAAAAACGCGGGAAATAAATATTGATTACTTTAATGATATACTTACTCCTTATACTTATTAAAGCTATTTACTACAGATTTATTCATGTCAGGAAAAAGTAAGAAAAAAGTTGACACACATTTTTTGGTAGGGGAATCCAGGTTATCCTTACCAAAAAACAAGTTTGCTACAGAGCAAGAGGTTTTTCAATACTTCTTGCATTTGAAAGAAAAGTACCCAAAACAAAAAAGAAAGTAGAGTTATCCACTGCCAATTGACAGAAAACTTTGAAATCAGCTGCCATTTTAAAAAACATATTTGCTATACTCTTTTAAAGTTAATTACACCTTCGATGAAGGGTAGATTTTAGATTTTACAATTACAAACAATTAGGTAGGTACCAGAATGTATATGTTTTTTTTTTTATTTATATATTATTACTTATTAGAGTAAAATAATAATATAGCTAATGTCTGCTGTAAAATAAGTGAATAAACAGAAGTAGATGTGTTGTAAAATATACCGAACCAATATATTACATTTTTTAGTATAAAGATAGAAAAGCTAATTGCTTTAAGGCAAACTTTATCAAAAATTGAAAAAAAATGAAATTTTTAACTCAGATGAAAAGGATAGCTTCATACTCTGGCTGCAATCATTAAAGCTGGTAGGACTCGAAATGATTAAGACAAGACTAAGGATATTGCATTTTTATTGGACCAATTTGGAGATTAAAAGGAAATTAAATTTGCATGAAACCATGTCAGATCCAGAGTTAAAGAAAAAAGTTAAAAATTTAATACTGTTATGCTTCCAAAAGATAATCTCAAGAGAACTGCTGATACTGCTGTTAGGGAAGGAATAAGTCATAGGCTGCATGCTTTCATGGTTAATAGTATAATCGCTAAATAGGGTGGAAATATAGCTGAATTTAAATATTCAATCTCTACAGCATTACGCTGTGCAGACAAGGTCGTTCATGATGAATCAAAGAATATCAAAGATGATTTGAGAAGTTTTAGAAAAATCAATTAGAAAATTTTAGTTCAACTCCATTTTGATGAAAAAGTATGTCATGAATATACTGATGGAAAAAAAATGGAACAAGATCGAAAAGCAATATTAATAAACAGTAACAAGGAAACGCATCTGTTGGGAATTCCACCAATTTCTTCTGGAACTGGCAAAAATCAAAAAAAAGCAATCAGACATATCTTAAATAGCTTTAACCTTACAGACAACATACAAGCTGTTACATTTGATACCACCATAATTATCGCTTGAAACAAAAATGGAGCTGTATCTTTAATGGTAAATGAAATCTTTCAACGACCACTTCTATCTATTGCATGTCGACATGATGTCAATGAGCTAAACATAAGACATTTTTGGAAAAATTATCAAAGTAGCATTACTTCTGGACCAGATAATCTGCTGTTTAAAACTTTAAAATCAGCATGAAATAATCTTGACGCAGACAACCAGGTAGATTTTTACAAAATTAGCTACCATTTTGTGAAATATCATTTTTTCCAAATAAGTTTATTTTTCCAATGTTGAGTTCTTTGAATTTTTTTTTTACATTATGAATAAATAAGGTTTTGAGAAGATTGACTATTCCAGTGGAAATATTTTTTTTTTTTTTTAAAAACATCTTTGCTTCCAACAAGGCTGCAAGCAACCACTAATTAGTGTTGGAAGTTACTGGAAGAAAATAGAATGAGTTGCCTAGTCATAAAAACAGAGAAACAAGAAAAACCCATGCATCGAGTCAAGAAGATCCAGCGTTCAACATCCTAAACTGGAAACAATGTATTAAAAATACATCTGCGCCAGCCTAATAGATGGAGAAGGGGTGCGAGGCTGGTCAACAGATAGAATCTGTTTACCCCTTAAGTTCTGTTTACTTCTAAATATGGCTTGGTCATCAAAAGCATGAAAGTATAACGTTCTGAAGAAATATCATCACCAGAGGGTCTCTAAAAAAGGTAGCCCAAAAACTAGATATTTGAATTTGTAGTTTTTTATGTAGTATGTACAATGTTGTAACTTATTATAAATTTTTCTGTTTTAATTCTGTTATTCTTTATTATACTAAAATATAAATAGGCTTTATTGCATTATAGGAAGGACTACATTGAGCTGGCAGAGCTTATATTTATGGTGCATTCTGAGGACAGGTATAAATTCCGTAGTCCCGGAGCCGTACAACATGCCCGCTTTATGGCAAAAGATAAGAAATTGTAGGTTCATGATAAGAAAAAGTTCAAAGTGTAATAATATTATAGCTTCATAGCAAAAAAAAGAATTTGTTTTACATTATCAAATATTAGTCTTTTTAACAAATTAAATAAAAAAGACTTTTTTTTTTGTAGGTATCTACTACCTAAAACTCCAACTTATGATGGATGCTATAACTAGTCTGGAAAAACGGCTGAAGCATAAAATTACTGAAGTGGCGACTTTTGTCTCTGTTTTCTATAATACCTAGTTTCTCAAAGCTGAACTATCACCCTCACAAAGGATCTTCAGGCTTGACAGGTAATGTTCCACTTTCAAGCTTTAAAAGCCATTGAGAAAATTCCTCTTCTCCTATCTGAACTCTCATATTTTCAATTAATGAAAACCTTTGCACATACTGTCAATGTTCAGAATAATTTATACATGATTCTACAACTTTTTGATTTGACCTCTCTTCCCAACTATAATTATTTGTCTAAAGCCTCCATAAGAATAAGTTTACCACTAAAAGGAAACCTAGTATTACAAATATCTTGTAATAACTTATCAACGGCACTCAAAGCATGTTTAGATATCATAGACGCTTGATCAAGTAAATACAAGCTTACTTGTTTAAAGACTTCCCCATGAATAGAATTTGGAGTTACATTATATGTGCTATTTTCAAAAATTGGCGCAGGAAGTTTGAACAAGCCATGCAGTGTGCGTCCATTTTTAAGAAGAGATGCAGCGATTCCTGTCCATACAGCTGTTGCAGTTCTAATATGTCTGATGCGTGTTTCAGCAATTAAATAATTGAAAGTAAATATTTTACCACAACCAGCAGACCCATCCATAAAAAAACAATCTTGAATGCTTATTTTCATTATTAGGTTCTTCATTAAGTGCAGCAAAAAATGCATCAGCTACATTACGCTGATTGTCATTTAATAATGGTCTAACTTGATTTGCTACATTAATAAATACTTAAACATCTTCGTCGTCATTTTCCGGGATATAAACTAAAACTGATCTAAAGTAGGTAAATTATAATAAGCTAAAGTTTTACCATTCTGATTAATTATAGATTCAATTCGACGAAGAACTACTTGTTCAGCAAATAGGACTGGCATTGAACGCTGTATGTAATCCTCCACCATATAAACATTAAAGGTATTCTAAAGGTGTAAAGTATCATCAGAATGACATAATGTCAATATAATAAAAAACAGTTTCCTAATTTGTTTAGGCAATCCAGTTGCAACAGCTTCAGTTAATGTATTTGTCTATTCAATGCCATCTTGCAACAGACCTAACTGATAACACGCTTTACGACATGTATTAAAAACAGTACCATTCCCAATTTGTAAATTCTCGAAAGATATTTCACCTTTTACAAGCAAAAGCAACAATCTA